TTTCATCTGAGCATTTCATCTGGAACTCTCTTTCTTTTTATGTTACACAAACTGCCAAGAACATTGCTAACCCTGCTGAAAGGAATGTTGCAGCTTATCCAGGGGCAAAAGTTTGATTGCCCAGAACATACGGGGGTCGAAAGGGATTTGTTCCTCCCATTTACAATATGGAGGGGGGGGGGGTCACCCTTTCCTGGAAAAGGCTTCAAAAGCTCCTGAGAATTGAAAAGTTTCCAGTTTTTCACATATCATGCTATAAAATATCAAGAGGTGGAATGTGATGCTATGGATATGTGGTGATTTTTTTTTGGTTTAGATATGTGCTTTTTAAGTTACTATTTTAGAAACTAAGCCTCCCCTATTAATATGCTAATTAACCCTTTCAGTTAGCTTTTGTGAAGTCTATGACATAACAAGAAATGGGGGAGGGGATTAGGACTTTGGAGCCATGTGCTTAGACAAAGAGAGGGTTGTTCTGGACTTTGGAGAAGAGTTGTTCTGGAGACAGGGAAAGACACACTTGTTCTGCAGATGAATGAGGAAGCAGTTGGACTCAAAGAACCATAAAGAAGATTCCATCAATGGAACACCCAAGCTGAGTAGCTCTTTAGTGTACTTACTGCATACATATTGTACATGCTTATTTGCTAGGAAGAGCTTGTGCATGTTGTAGGCATATTTTTTATACTTTCCATGCTGTGATTTGTGTATCCTGCAGTCGAATGTGCAGTTTTTTTTGTTTAGTAAAGCACATTATTACACTACAGAGTTTTAATCGCTTCCTTGGCTTGTACTGCAAAGTAACCTAAAAGACACAAGCAAAACAGACTGAACAACACAAAGTCACATATGTCAATGACCTCTTTTTGTCACCTGCCCAGGCAAAACCATTTCCAACCTTCTATGGAAATTATAAATATATGAGGACCTATCAAATTTTAAAATCAATGTCTAGGAGTCAGAGGCCCTAAATATTAACCTTGTGGGTTGGTGCAGCAGCAGTAAAGACACAGAGTCTGGTTACAGGTAAACTCAGAACTTGTATTGCAGAGAATGACAACTACAAACAACCCCACCGGGAGAGCATGGCTTAGGGTAACACTCACAGTTCAGTTCAATGCAGAGATACAGCAGGTAAAGATGCACTGACAGCTTCTGTCTTTATAGGATGGAATATGGCCTTGCCAGTCTGGACCAAAAATGGAGGCTTCCAAAAAGGGTTGCCAGTCACTGGCCTGTCCCTATTCATCAGGAAACTTTCCCTGCAACTCTCACTTTCCGTGACAGATGGGTGCGCTTTCCCTACTCTCACCTCTTCACAAATGCGTGCTAAACCCTGAGGGCAGGAACTTCTAAAGACTCTGTTGACCCAAGATGGCTGCCAGGGGTCACCTGGATGCAGTGTAGTCAACCGAAACACTGCCTGCAGGGACCCAGAAGCCATGGAGAAACCAGGTTTCCCCTGATTTCCACTTCAGGCTGCGGTACCGCTCGGGTTGAGTGCCACCTACAGGAAAGAAGGAGGAAACCACTGCCTACAATCTGGCTCCAGAGGCACTGTGCCAAATTCAAACTAACGTCCTCTTCTCTTGGGCTCAGAAAAAAATTAAATACTTGGGCATATATCACACCTCGTCCCTGTCAGAGATATTCAAAGAAAACTTCCTCCCAAAGCTGATGTGGACTAGGACAGACCTGAAGCAATGGTACCAGCAGGCGTTCACCTGATTTGGGCTCAACAGCATTCTGAAAATGTCAGACCTACCAAGAAATCTATAACTCTTACAAACCCTCCCACTGGCTATTCCACGTTCTTTTCTCCATGCAACCCTGAAAACCCAACTCTTCAGGGAAGCCTACCCCACCCCCTGCTAACTTGCCAACCTCCTCCACTCTTCCTACCACTGCATCTCCCACAGCTTTCTCCTCCTGTGCCACCATCCCCTCCCTCCTAGATTGTAAGCTTGAAAGAGCAGGACCCTCGATCCCCTCATGTTTTGCATTGTATTGCATTGTTATTGTTCTGTCCCCCATTGTAATGTACAGCGCTGAGCGAACTATTGGCGCTTTATAAATACTGTATAATAATAATAATGCGACCAAAGCAGAATTCCTGAATCTTCTCTTGGGCCATAAAACAATGCACATCTCATATTGGCTTGTTGCCCTACCTAAGGAGAGAGGGGGTTTTGGTTTTCTGAACCCCTTGCTATTCGATTCATATGTCCCATTCCTTAGATTAGATTAAATATGGGTCAGAAAAGGACTGGGTAGGTCTGGAGCAGGATATGTCACCTCTACCATTACAGATGCTCCCATGGCTTACTACACCTCTACTGCTGGAGGTGAAAATGCACCCTGTGATAGGTACTATAATATTGGGTTTGGCCAAAATGGGCTGCTTATGGTCCCCTTTACGGACACTCACTCTTAAGTCCCCGCTAATAGGTGCCCAGGAATTTATCCCAGGTTTAAAGGACACAAGATTTAAAGATTTTATCCTGACCAATCAGTTTTAGATTCAACATTTCCTGTTGAGAGGACGATGGGGATCCATACGAGAGATCCAGAACATAATTTTCCACTCACTGGATTTGTGGAGAGCTATGCAATCACATCATTTTTTAACCACCATCACACTGAGTAGAGTGAATCGGGGCAGGATTTCCCCATTCACATATCTCCTACTCCTTAAACAATAAACCATTTGTGGAATTTGTGCCCCCTTCCTACTAAAATGGGAGTGTGACTCCTGTGCAGAGAGAACAGATTCTTTACTTTGCCCACTGATCTTCCCTTCCCACCAGGTACCAAGAAGCAGGTTATAAACTGTTGACATGCTGGTAAAGGACTCCTGGACTCTTCATAAGATCTATCCTACTGTTTCTCTGATATGCTGGCATTGTCAACAAGAACCTGGCACGTTGCTACATATCTTTTGGCTGTACCCCCTGCATATGACCCTTTTGGGAGAACATTAGATGGCTGATTCATAAACTCACCAATACATCTCTGGAGGTGTGCCCCAAGAATCACCCCCCTCTCGCTCAACGCCGCTAAGCTTTGTGTTCCACAAAAGTGGAAGAACACAGACCCATTGTCAATTGGTCAATGGATAGCAGTGGTTAATGGGATGAATGATATGGAATGTTTAATAGCAGCTATGAAACGTATTATTAGCACAATTTCCATTATTTGCAGGATTATGAATCCTATATATCCACTCTGGTGGTGCAAGCTCCACCCAGTAAAAGCCAGATATACTTTTGGATTCCTCGGTGAACACCAGTTTCTTCACATCCCACAGATGGGAAAGAGACCTTAAGGACACTAAAGACCATGAGTGCTGGTCACAGATATGGTCAACTCTGACATCATGTTCCATCAATATCCTAGCTATGGAAATGGCCTTCAAAACGTTGGCAATACAGTATCTTCTCCCATCCCACTTAGCATCTCTTCACCCATCAGTCCCTAATGTTTGCTTCCGAGGCTGTAACGGCCGACGTTCTACATACAGTATACGGTGGACATGCCCTATGCTTTTCTGATTTTGGTCAAACGTTCTCAAACTACTCCAATCATTATTCACTTGTCCCTTTCCAAGAGACCTGTGGTACACTCTTTTACACTTAAAACCTCCGGGCATGTCTAAACATCAATTTAAATTAGCCACTCATGTACTATTGGTGGCCAAACAAACCATAGCGAAAGCCTGGAAACAGCAGTTCGTATCCTTTACAGAAGTTCACCGCTGCCTTGACTTTTTTCTAACAAAACAAAAAACTGTCCTACATCCTTTCAGACACTCATAAGAGATTCCTTAAAACCTGGACTCCATGGATCCAATATGCCCACCCGGAGATTTCAACAAACAGCTCCTCACTATGGCCTCACACAACCCCATAAACTGATCTCAAAGATTTTCGATGTCCTCCCCCCTATTCTGTCTCCACTTTTTCCTTTTCCTTTCTTATCTTGATTTTTGTTCTGTGGCTGCTCCACAGGGATTCCCTATGTACCATGAGGTGCTATATACATCTCTTGTACTGTTAACATATCAGTATATCTTAAATGATATACCCTTTTTACCGCTGTCGGCTGTTCAAGTACAGACAGCTATTTATGTACCATTTAATCGACCGACACAAAATGTATGTTTATTTCTACTCCTTTGACAAGTTATCTTGAAAGTTATTCATTTTAATTATACTTAATTTGTATAAGACCGCAGTTAACATCTGTTCAAAGTTATGATCCTGTTTTTGTATTAGAATGCGGTCGAGATTGTATCTTGTATTTAAAAATGTCAAAAAAAAAACATACAAATTATTGAAAGGAGAGAGTAGTGCTGTAGAGGGCAGTAGGAGAAACCACAACATGGGGGGGAAGTGGGGTGGGAGAGAAGCAGGAATTTTACACTCCTGGAAATGTTTCTTTTGTAAGATAAGTTCATCAGCAATTACAGAGGCATCAGAGGTGTGAGCAGCAGGATTGGTAAGTATTAAATATCTTCTGCATATTTTTTTGGGTCAATAACTAATGAAGATGAAGCTCAGCAGTCAGAAGACAATTTTACTTCTAAAGGTCAGGGAAGTAAGACTAGAAACTCAGCAAATCGTATGTGACCAGCACACATCAGGATACAATAACAAACCTGGAATGAAATTGTATTATGCATTTATATATATAGAATGATGCATATGAACAAGGGGCGGACTGACAACTCATGGGGCCCCCGGGCAATAGGGGATTATGGGGCCCCTGTGTCCTTGCCCAAACTCAAAAAAGCCTATGAAAAAGTTACCAGGGGTATCTCATGGGGCCCCCTACTGACCCCGGGCCCTCGGGCAGTGCCCGAGTTTCCAAATGGTCAGTCCGCCCCTGATATGAACATCTAAATATCAGCACATATACCGGATTAGAACATCTGAATATGAATGATCACAAAGATAAACAAAATACTGTACATAAGAAAAATGTCAGTTGTAAATACAAGCTTATGTTACTGGATCTGGACAAGGCTGGTCATTAAACTTCTCATTTGCATAGGTATCAGAGTCACACCACATGGTGCTAGTGTCTGATAGAGTAACATAGACGCCACCATTTCTGACAGTCACTTTGTGAGTCCGCTGCTTCACTCCTTTAGAGAACCATTTTTTGGTTCTTTTAGTCTCGCGGGGGTCAACTCCTTGATACAGGCCTTCACCGCTTTCCAAAACAATTTTAAATTTGTGCCAAGGACAAATTACACACGCCCGTCCATCCAAATCCTGCAAACAAACAGAGACACAATGTCAATCCTTAAAAAATAGTTTAATTTATTAAAGCCAAATTGGGAGCCGCAGGCATAGATCATGAGTCAATCTCCATTTTCAGAGTATTCCTTCCACTTATTTTTTGTTTTGCAGAAAGTAAATATGAGTGTGCAGTCCAGTTAGCACAAAGACCATGTGTACTCAGTAATCAGCACTCATTAGCAAGCCTAGTCAGCCACACCTCTCCTATCCTCAACAATACATGTCTTTGTACTGGGCTGAGGGTGGCTGCTACTCAGCTCTCTGCCAGCACAGAGCACTGGAGTGTTAGTAAAGGAAGCAGTATTTTCCCTGCGACAAAAAATCATTTAACGCGTTACTAAACCCAGGACCCTGCATTCACTCTATCTGGTCTTGCATAGTACACACTACATGGAAATGCAATTATTTTAGCAAATATACACGGCTAAATACATTTTCTCATCAGGAGCATATAGCAGTCTTGTGGCTTCTATCAGTGTTCAGCAGAGCACTGGTTAAAGCTTGTAGGAGGAGTTTTCTTTCTGGAAGAAGGGGAGGATCAGAGAAGTCAGGATCAAACAGCATTTTTACAAAATGCAGAGGATTAACCCCTTAGGTTCCACAGTGAGTATATCAAGCATGCTTTACTGCATATACAGACTGATTTTACTGTTGTGGGTTTAGTAACACTTTAAAGTCCTTCCTAAGCAAAAAACAGAGATATGCTGTTAATGCAATAATTCTGAAATGAAAGACATGCTCTGAAAGGACTAATTTAGATGCTGTTTGCTTCAGTGTATGTTTAGGTTGCAAAAGAGATATAGTTGTTACTCAGCAGAGTAACTAAAAGTAGAAATCAGGCATACATTTTATTTTAAATTTTGATAACATGGGGAAGATTTAAAGCTGATGACTATTTTTTTTTTATTCTTTCTTCCCACTGGGGCTGATTGTTCTCACTCCTCACCTTTATGTATTGGAAACAACAGGATTTTAGCAGAAGGCGACACAAAGTGAAGGGCAACCCAAACCTTGGACTTCAAAGGAAAGCTAGTGAACATCAGCAAGTGGTTAATGAACAAGTAATGTCTAATTAAATATTGAAGATAAAATTAGGGGGGCACCATCATCCAATAACTGTATGGCAAAAAGAGGGGAAAAAAAATGGACTTTCTCGGAACCCAAAGGACATCAAGTTCACACAATAGTATATATAAAAAGTTTAGTTTTTTATTATAATCATCATTTAAAAAAAAATATAAATAAAATCATCAGTATAACATTTTACACTGAAAATGTTCCTATTTAGCTGCATTAATTTCCCAAATAATGTAATGTAATATCCAACATCAGAATATAACTTCCACGTGGGAATAATTGTGAGAAAGAAGATGCGGTAAATCCTCTACATGTTTCACAACATAGTTGCTTATTCAAGAGGAATGAGCCTTAATTATCTATAACAGGATACAAATAGATATTAACCACAAAGGGCATCAAACCAACAAGCAATATATATAAAAATATATATATATATTTATATATATATTGTAAATATATCAAACCAGCGTTCATAAACCCATATGTCTCTTAAGTCCATCCATGAAGTGTCCCCTCCGAATGGTCTTCAATAGCTTTTATATTCAGTGAGGTGCCTCTATGCCTATCTGCTCCCTTGAACCTTTTTCCAAATGGAGCTTGTATATCGCTCAGATGAGATATGCTAATAGAGGGTGAGGGTGCCTGCCTCAGTTCGCCACTGCTGAACTAGATGACAGTGGAATAATTGGTTGCACTCCACCACAAGACTAAATCCAGACGATGTCTTTATTATCATCACATACAGGAGAGCAGTACAGGACAGGCTGTTGACGCATTTCACACTTTGGAAATGTGCTTATTCATAACAACCTCCCTTGAACCTTTCATGGGACTCCAAATGACAGGGTGAGCACTCTCAGAAAAACAGAAAAACTATACAGTACAGTATGTTGATACTCTAAAATAAATGTGTTCAAAATCCCATTAAAGGTGTTCACATTTGATTGATCTACCCAAATGTGAGCACCTATAATGGGATTTTGAGCACATTTAGAAACATACTGCACTATATAGAGTAGTTTTTCTTTTTTTCCGAGAGTGATCATCCTGTCGAATGGAATCCCATCAAAAATTCAAGGGAGCAAAAGACATTCATAATTGAGATAGAGGCACCTCTTTGAATATAAAATTTATTGAAGAACATTCTGAGGAGACACTTCGTGGACTGACTTAAGAGACATTTGGGGGTTATGAGCGCTGGTTTGATATATTTACATGGTTTTCAACTGGGGGCAAAGTGTTTCTAGCTGCTCTGACTATCAGATAAATCATAGCTCTAGTGTGCTGACACCTAATATTTGCAATATAAACATTACAATAGGTCATGTGACATAAGAAAGCATCAGCTTTAGGTGGCACCATCTTACCTAGACGGTGAGCATGCAGCCCAGCAGGTTGTCACATGACCTATTGTAATGTTTTCATTGCTTGTTGGTTGGCTTCCCTTTGTGGTTAATATCTATTTGTATCCTGTTATCGATAATTAAGGCTCATTTGTCCTGAGGAAGTGACTGTGTAGTGAAACCTGTAGAGGATTTAAAGCATCTTCTTTCAAAAAAGTATTCCCACAAAGTTATATTCTGATCTTGCAAGTTAGATTACAGCAGTGGGGAAATGAATGCGGCTAAAAAGGAACTTTTTCGTGTAAATGTTATATTGATTTAATTTATATTTTTTTAAAATAAAGAATATAATAAAGTACTAAGCTTTTATATACTGTTGTGTGAACCTAATGCCCCTTGGGTACTGGGAAGTCCATCAGTAAGCAGTTGTCCGCCTGATTAAAACCTGGCCGAAACACATTGGCATTTTTATGGCTTTTTCACTTTGTTTAAAAAAGGACAGTTGCTTGCTAATGTTATCTGAAGTGCCAGCTTTCCTTTGCAGTGTACACACTGTGTGAGGTTCCCAGAGAACTTTTAGTCTGAGCACCGGGTTTCCGAGCTGTTGGTATATTCCAGCAGTGGTTGCATAGCGCTGTCTCATCAGTTTCCAACTCTACCTTTCACAGTTATCATTGAAATGAGTGTCTTCATTGGAAGATTTAATTTCCACTGCTGTACCAGAGGTAAAACAAAAGATTCTCCCTTACTTACTGTATCCATGACAGTGGTCCCCAGGACAGACAGAAAACAAGGATGTCCCCAAAAGGGTCACAGCAACAAGGGTTTTAACTCATGCATTCAATCTCCACAACTAAAAACATTTGGCTGAGGTCTTACGTTAAGTTTTGTAGAGTTTAGTAAACATTACTAATAAGCAAGCACTATAGGAGATGTTATCTGAAACTGATGACCTTGCATTTCTTTATATTCCAGTGTATAAGCATTCCTCCACTGTGTATTATAAACAAGTTCTTTTACTTTCTCTGAATACAGCTACTTTGTTCCAAACGTTTGCACAGTCTTTATGTAGAAAAGAATAATTTTATTTTTTCAATGTTATTGTTGGCTCTTACATTAAATCACTATAGCAGCGAATATATTGTAAAGTTAAATGCTAAATAACTCAAGTCAAATCTTCTCCCACTCTGAAGCTATTTAAATCTGACCCGCACATCCACATGCCATTAGCAGTAAATGTCACACTGTTCTAGCTGTTCCCCCATGTATTTGGCAGGATAAGGTCATGTATGCTGGTATTGATAATACAAATGACATCAACATCTCCGGAGCCTGCACATGGAGATAAAATGATGTGTTCTTCCTGCTAGGTTTTCTACCACAACACCACCCTTAACACATGCATTTCCTAAGTGACGTGAAATCACAAGATATCTCACAAATGTGTTAGGCTGTGCGATCACTCCTTAAAAGTTTCCAATCTCTCAAACAGAGGACAATCAATATATTAGGATAATTGCAGACATATCATGAAAATGATACATAATCTTTATTTGTCCAGTCTCTAACCTACAACCTCATTGTAGTAATCTGTGCTATATATTATGATAGCCGCTGGCTACCAATCTTCATTCCAGACCAAGAGCTACCTTTGACAGCTGTCTTTGTGCTGGGAATGCAGACTGAGTGTGCTCTCAGAACATAAACATCTGCCTCCCATTGACACATACAATTCAGGTGTTCCAATCACCTCCATGACCACAGGTGTATAAAATCAAGCCCCAAGGCATGCAGATTGCTTCTACAAACATTTGCTAAAGAATGGGTCGCTCTCAGGAGCTCAGTGAATTCAAGTGTGCTACCGTGATAGGTTGCCTCCTGTGTAATAAGTCCATCCGTGAAATTTCCTTGCTACTAAATATTCCACAGTCCACTGTTAGTGGTATTGTAACAAAGCGGAAGCAACTGAGAACAACAGCAACTCAGCCACGAAGTGGTAGGCCACGTAAAATGACAGAGTGGGGTCAGCACATGCTGAAGCGCACAGTGAGCAGAAGTCACCAACTGTCTTCAAAGTCAATAGCTAAATACCTCCAAACTTCATTTGGCCTTTAGATTAGCACCACAGTACATAGAGAGCTTCATGGAATGGGTTTCCATGGCCAAGCAGCTGCATCCAAGCCTTACATCACCAAGTGCAATGCAAAGCATCAGATGCAGTGGTGTAAAGCACACTGCCACTGGACTCTAGAGTAGTGGAGATGTGTTCTTTGGAGTGATGAATCATGCTTCTATGTCTGCCTAGTGTAAAGTTTGGTGGATTATGGTTTGGAGTTGTCTCTCAGGAGTTAGGCTTGGCCCTTTAGTTCCAGTAAAGGGAACTCCTAAGGTTTCAGCATACCAAGACATTTTGGACAATTTCATGCTCCCAACTTTGTGGGAACAGTTTGGGGATGGCCCCTTCCTGTTCCAACATGACTGCACACCAGTGCACAAAGCAAGGTCCATAAAGACATGGATGAGCAAGTTTGGGGTGGAGGAACGAACTTG